GCTGCCTGGCCTGCTGTGTTCCTCCAGCTCCACACTGTGTTATCTCTGATTCCAGCATTGGCAGTTCTTAACACCATATATTATTACCAGCTTATACTGTCAGTATAGTATTAAGGTCACTGGAGCATCTATGAATGTCAGAACTGACCATCTACATCATGAAGCCAGGAGATTGAGGAGGAAATGGCAGAGGTAGAGAAGAAATTGGGTGATTTCGACTAAAAGTTGGCACTGGAAGAGAAATAAAGAGAGGGGATGATACATTGGATTAAAAGAGGACTGAAAGGAAAAGTAAAAATAAATGAGACAGCACAGATTCATCACACTTTCTGGGCTAGATACTTGGACTTAAGAGTTACATGAAGAAGCAGAACAATGAGGTTGAGAAACATATCAAGATCAAATGGCAGAGCAGATCAGATAGGCGGCATGGCCTAATTCTGCTCTTGCACATTATGGTCTTATAGACTGGTTTTACAGGAACATAATTCTGGTCCAAATACCCTGATGATCGCTGGCACCCTATCCACCTGGTACCTTGGCCCCCACCCCACAACAGACACCCTAAGCCTTAACTTTCAGCTGGTGACATGGAGCTCACTTCTAATGTCACACAGTATGAACAGAGTGGCAATTCCGTGGAATATTATGACCATTATTTAAAGGAGCCTTGCATAGTTAAGCAACAGCCCTGACATCCAGAGATAAGCTTATTTCACCACAGTGCACAAATAAATACATTTCTAAAATTTTCAATGGAAAATTTAAGCACAAGGTGCCATTTTCACAGAGGTAATGGCAGAGTACTCAAGTCATAAAGCCCCTACAGTGTGGAAGCAGGCTATTCAGCCCATACCAACCCTCTGAATTGCATCCTACCCAGATCCACCCTTGTAACCCTGCATTTTCCAACAGCCAATCCACCTAAGTTGCACATCTTTGGACTGTGGGAGAAAACCTGCACAGACACAGGGAGAATGTGCAAATTCCACACAGACAGTGGCCCAAGGGTAGAATTGAACCTGGGTTCCTGGTGCTGTGAGGCAGCAGTGCTCGCCCCTGTGCCACCCTAATTTGTAAATCAATTTGTGCGATTCACAATTTAGGGTAGTGCTTCCTCACCACAAACTGATCAACAATTTTCACAATAATAACAGCAGCACACTAACTTATCATTTTCCCAGCAAATTCTGGCACATAATCTTCAGCTTTGAACAAAATTTCCAAAATGCTTTTATATCTGAAGGATTTCTTACAATAAGCATGCAGTAGCATGTTCTGCATATTGGGCTCAATTAGCACCAGAGGTTGTAGTTCCTTTGTGTGGGACACTTATCAATAATATTCTCAATACAGTGTGGAGCTGGAGGAACGCAGCAGGTCAGGCAGCATCACAGCATCAGTAAAGTTAATGTTTCCATTTGGGACTCTTCATCAGGATCCCGATCTGAAATGTCGACTTTCCCGTTCCTCTGACCTGCTGTGTTCCTCCAGCTCCACACTGTACTGACTCTGACTTTCAGCATCTACAGTTCTTGCTATCTCCTATCAATACAGTGTCTGCGTAATTGGTTCAAGGCATGCTTTATCTAAATTAAAACATGATTGCACGTATAGTATTATAGCATTCATATTTACTAAGGACTAATCCTAAATACCCTTTCATACGACTTTGCTGATGGAGGCTATTACATGTCTGTCTCATGTGAAATGGCTACTGTACTTAACATGGAAACCATTTCAGCTTCAATTCTACACTTGACTTCTGAAAGGTCCGTAATGAAAATGTAGGCTATCGATGTGTTTTGGTCGCTTCTGACTTAAGTTCTGCTGAGCGAAGGATTTTTTTTTAATGTTGGTTTTCCTTTCCAGCTTGGATTAATAACTGTGAGCAGATAAATTGCCAGGGTATTTCACATATGTGATGAACTATGCCCAGCTGTTCTGATGTATGCCAAGGTTATGAGTATGAGTCTCTCAGAATGATAACACAAGTGTGGAAATAAGTTATTACAGACAAGGGCTAAAAGTAACAGTATTTAGCCTTTTTAAGGAAAATCTAGAATGCATTCCTTGGACTTATTAAGAATTTCAATTGCAATTACGGGCTACTTATTATTTGGCATTAGAAACAGTTACAATTGAACATTTACCTTTGTAAATATATTTCATTCAAAAATATTTACATAGAATTAGTAGCATCAGTAGGCCATTCAGTCCCTCAAGCCTTCTCTATCATCTTTCAGGATCACTACTGGTATGATTCTGACCTCAACTTTCCTGGCTATCCCTTTCAACTCCCTTCTCAATCAAGAATCTACCTAACTCTATCTTTAAAAATATTTAATGACGCTGCCTCCGATGCTCTCTGGTGAAGAGAATTCTACAAAGCCACAACCCTCTGAAAGGAAAACAATTCTTCTCAACTCGGTTTTAGTAGGAAAAGCCTTATTTTTAAACTGTGTCACCTAGTTCCAGTTTCTCAGACAAGGAGAAACATCCTCCCAGTGTGATGACACAGCTTGGTGAGTGGAGTTGGGGAAAGGACAAGGGAGAAGGTGCTTGGGCCCCAAAATTATTGAACTCAATATGTATCCTGAAGGCTGCAGAGTTCCCAAGTTCAGTGCAAACATCTCATTTTCAACTTGGAGAGTCTACAGCCTTCAGGACTCCATATTGAGTTCAATAATTTTAGTGTCTGAGCCCCTTCTCCCATATCCTTTCTCCAACCCCCACAAACCAGGCCTTGTTATCAACATGAGTTGCTCCAACAATGAATCCATGGTCAGCTACCAGTGGTCCCCATGAGCAGTTATTCATTATCCCAGGCTGACTTTTACCTATCCCTTTGTCTGTTTCTCTCTCTCTCTCTCTAGGCTCTATCTCCACCTATTGTTTTCTCCTCCCACTTCCCCTCGCTCCATCTTCTGCATAAATACCAACCTTCTCATAGCTACAATCAGTTCTGGGGTTACTGGACCTGAAACATTAACTCTGCTTTCTCTCCATAGATGCTGCCTGACCTGCTGAGTTTTCCCAGCAATTTTTGTTTTTGTTTCTGATTTCTCGCATCTGCAGTTTTTTGGTTTTTCTGCACACACAGGTGTTACTTTGAGGAGCTGCAACAATGTCAAGCCTGGAAATGGGGTCATGGTGAGAAATTTGCCTTGTGTCTTCTCCATAATTTGTCATACCTACCTTTTGTATCATCAGCAAATTTAGCATCTCTGGTTCCTTCATCCAAGTCATTGAAATCAATTTTAAATTGTTAAGACCCTAGCCTTGGTTCCAGGGGACTCCACTAATTTCATACTGCTAAATCAAAAATGGACCCTTTATAACGACTCAGAGATAGTAAGAACTGCCGATGCTGGAGTCAGAGATAACAAGTGTGGAGCTGGAGGAGCACAGCAGGCCAGGCAGAATCAGAGGAGCAGGAAAGTTGACATTTCAGGTCTGAAGACAGGTCCCGACACAAACGTCAACTTTCCTGCTCCTTTGACGCTGCCTGGCCTATTTATAATGACTCCCTGCTTCTTGCTAGCCTTCCAACCCTCTATCACATACTAATATGTTACCCTCTATTCCACAAGATCTTAGTTTATTCATTAACCTTTGATGTAGTCCACAGTCAAATATCTTCTGGAAATTCAAGTATAGCACACCTACAGATTTCCTTCATTGAACTTGTTTGGTATTTTTCTCAAAAGAACATGATTTCAAAGCATGATTATTCAGTAGATTTGACTAATTAAATGACACCAGCACTGTACAGTTAGAAAATCAGAACTCTATATTTGTTCAACAGATGCACTAATTTGCTAGCTATCTAGAAAACAGTGATGATCACAAATTTGTTAAGTGATAAGGCCAGTACAATGCATGAGTGATGTCTTCTCACAGTTATTTGCATTATTACTAATCTTGTTTCATCGATAGTGAGCTTTGCCTGTAGAAATGCAGCTTTATTTTGCATTAATTGCATCCCAGTTTATAGCTGCAGAAACATGTTTCTCTGTTTCCTGTTGCGAACAGTAGTGGTTTGTAGCGTGCTGAAGTCTTTTTAGCGTGTTGCAGATTGCTGAGCTTAACATGAATTTCTGTCATGAAAAATGCTTAGAGAGGTCTCTGCATTTTTTACGAGTTGAGTTTTACGATCCTTTCTTGATGCAGCAAATCCAAATCTACTGTGTGCATAACAGGGAAGGAGAAAACTGCAAATGCTGGAAATCAGAAAAGTGTAGACAAGTGGGTCAACATCTGAAAAAGAAAGATGGTTTAACATTCTGAAAGTAACTCCTTGTCAGAATGTGTTACTGCCTCTGACATTAGGGTCAAGCAGCATTTTAAAAGCAGCAGACATTGCTTTGTTTGCAGAGGTAGTGATAGATTCTAGCTCAGATTGTGACATTTAATCGACCCAGTTACTGGTAAAGCTAAGTAGAGTAAGTCTGGTGCTTAGTGAGCTCCACATGTTGTCAAATCCCACATCATAACAAATAGCCATTCTTTTGCCTTGAGATATTTATTCTCTAATGGTAAGGTTAATGCAAAGATAATTCACAATTCCTTTAGGAGTGGATTCAAATTCTGAATGATGGGGATATATATCTATACATTTTGAATAATGGTGAGTTTGTAGTTTATGTTATGTATATTATGAAACATCAAATAAGATATCTCCCAAAAAAAAAGCTAAAACATTTTAAAAATCAGTTGCTGAACATTTAATAAAGATTTTGAGCTCTGGAAACTATGAATTAGTAGAAAACAAAGAACTGCAGATGCTGGAAATCTGAAACAAGAACAGAAATTGCTGGAGAAATGCAACAGATCTGGTAGCACCTGTGGAGAGAAAGCAGAGTTAATGTTTCAAGTCCAGTTCTGTAGAAGGGTCACTGGCCTCAAAACATTAACTTTGAATTAATATTTGACTCCAAGATTTCAAAGTGGATTTGGGAATCACACAAAAACTGTGAAAACCTGCTAAAACAAAAAGAAAGCCCTGGGGCAAATGAGTTCTAGAGTCAGAACTTTCTGGCCAGTTATACTAACTGAATAGTATTTTGTGGTTGCTTAGCTACTAAACCCACGTTAATTAGAAACACAGAGCAGATAAAATACCCGTCACTGAACATAACTGAGGAATCGTTTTTAAACAGATTTTGAGCTTTTGTAAAGCAGCTAATTCAGTTTTATTGCCTTAGCAATCCAGGCAGCTTTCATTTTACTACATTGCTCAGGCAACTGGCAAATAAATGAATGATTCCATTCACCAGCACATACTTTATAGTTTTCTTTTCAGTTTAATCATTTCCTTCTGTTTGTTGCAGAAGAGATGATGAGATGTATTGCCTTTTTGACAAACATTCTGTTGCGTATCTATTAAGATTAAAACTCCTCTCCATTACTGGTTATCAAATACCATAACAAAGTGATTTATTTTGTACACTTCCTTAACGAATGACTATTTTCTGAGAGGGGATAATATCTTCACTAAGGTGCATTACTGTTACTGATTGGTTTGGCTGCATGTATTTGTGTAAAATATAATAAGCACCACCTTGAAGCTATAATTCTGAATTTACCAAGCAATCATGTTTGCTCTGAAGTGAGCTTTTGACACAACAAGTATGACTGAAATAAATATTTCCATGAATCTTCCTTCCTTTAGAAGAAGAAGCTGAACTTGGCAACCTAGTTGTTTCAGATATTACCTCAGAAGGCTTCACGCTCTCTTGGACAGCAGAAGATGAGGCATTTGATTATTTTATCATAGATGTTAGAGACTTTGACAGCTCGCTTGATCCAATACAGCAAGTTCTATCAGGGAAAACACGAACTACTGACATCTCAGGTCTAGTAGAAGGCACTGGATACCAAATTAATGTCACTGGCGTAATTCAAGGCTGGCACTCACAACCTCTCACTGCTCTCACCACTACAGGTACTGCCACTTGCAGAAAGCAAAATAAGGCACTTGCTTTCATGATTTATTTATACCATTGCTTAATTAAGTTTCATTTACAAAATAAAATGACACTCTGTCTATTAGCTGACTGTCATACTAATATCTCCTCTTCTTTTTGTAGCATGTTTTTTGTTATTAATATTAATAGTCATAACTCCCTTTCTTTCTCTCAAGTCCGCCTTGAACCTTCTTCAATCCAGAGGTATAGGATAGGTGGAGTTAGAGATTTAAGTACTTTGTAATCAGCAATAGGACGCAGAGAGCAAAAACGGACATAGACAGAATATAAAGAGGAGCATCACAGGTCAGCCAAACGTGGTAGGGTCAGTTGCACTCCAAGTAGTGCATGCCATGCAATATGAATAATTGCAAGACCACCTTCCATCTCCAGGTCTCTCTCTATACACTGACTAACAAGGCCTGCATCATGCCTTCCAAATATTCGTCAGTTTTTTTTCCAATAAAATTAACACATTTCAAATTTAGTCATTTGGTAGAACGGAGCTTGAGTAATGCTGAAAATTGACGCAATTTATCAAAGCTTTTCAACTTACAGTCATCAGGACAGATCACTAGAATACCAAGAAAGGGGACACCAACATTGATACTGTATGAAAGGAAAGTGGTGATTGGTTGGCAACCCTGATTGTAGTGGATTGTCGTGGTGAATGCACCCGTTAATGCTGGTTAACAGTTTACTGCCTAGCTTTGAAGGTTTCCCTTTGAATTGGTTTTCCTATGAATTTCCCTACTGAGTGCAAGACAACAAAATGTGGTCTTTCACAGCAATATATAAATATTTGTTCGTTTTTAAAATCCTAGTTACCCTAGTTTTAAATGTGGTTTCGGATCACGCTGCAATTTGAAACCCAAGTGCTATGACTCCTTTCTGACTTTTATATGCCCTACTGTCAGAATGGGCTGACACTCAAGTTATAAGGGGAGATTTTCAAAGATTTGCATAAGTGCACTGGATGCTTAATCACCATCCAAATTATAAAATTAGACGGAAAGAAGAATATGCTTTTCATATGGATTCAGAGGAAAACGCAGGAAATATTCCCTACTACTAAATCAATGATCTAATGGGTCAATTAGTGAAAAATTGTACTTTGTAGAACAATAACTGTAGTCTTCAATTTTATCTACTGAATCACTGCAGTGCCATTGTCTTTCTGCAGTTGAATGAATAACTTCCACATTAATGTAACACACTCAACCAATTGCTGAGAGTCTGCTGTTATGAACATATTATTCCCTTATTCTGAACTTCTTATTTCTTTATTTTTCTATTTTTCCCCTAAGAATTTGTGCTTGACAATCTGTACCTCGGTACCTTGTGCCTAAGGTGGCGCCATAAGTGGCAACTTGTAAACTTTTCACTGTACTCATTTGAGTATATGTGCTAATGAAGCTAATTCTAATTCTAATTCAAGACCAATTAGTCACCAATCAGCCAACTCCAAATAAATCATCTTCCACTCCAATGCGTATGCTTTGCCTGGATGAAAATTGGATAGGCCTAAAGTTCACAATCTCCTACTGAAATTTTGGTTGGAGATCAAGAGACCGCTAGAGAAACAGTATAAGTATTCACTTTTAGCTACCTCAATGGGAATTCTACAGATCTCAAAAGAACCTCTGAGGTTATTCCAGGCTCTAAAGCAAAGATGCCCAGAGATGAACCAAATGTTGGATCTGTGGCTTTTGTTGTAGCTCTAAACCCCTAAAGCCAAAATTTTGGTTGAGAGATGTAATAGAAAGAACAATGTTGTGGCACAAGTAACCACTTTTATTATATAGTGCAGTTAAGTCAAATGACCTAAAAACTTGACATTTAATTAAAATTGTACTTATGTCAACAAGGCAAATGAACCTATTAAAGATAAGGGAAGAGGAGAAAGGTCTACATAAATTGTGCAAAATCCTGTACTAAATCAACAGGATGGTATAAACCAACTTATATTTTCCATTGTCTTGGAAAATATTGTTGAGATTTTTAATTTCAAGCCAACTATAAAAAGCAATAAAACAAGAAATGAATTATCAAAAACTGTATAAACTATCATTCTCTGAATACCAGTAGAAAGAATATCAACAAACAAATCCACTGCCATTTGCTACAAGCTTGTGTTGTGCAGCTGGTTTAGTCCAGTTTTATCCACTATAAAAATTAAAATCAGATCATAAAGGAATCTGGAATGGTTTTACAATGATCAAATAATAGGGTAGATTTTGAATTTGTGTGGAAGTATGAAGCAGGAGATAGTGCTGTGACTTTTGTGGATAGCAGTAACATTATCATTTTTTTTAAATCTGAGAACCCAGGTTGCTAAAAGAATGAAACCACAAAATTCTTGACTAAAACCAAAGCATTTTACTATACAAAAATCAAAGAACAGTTTACTAAATAGTCAAGCCTGTTAAAGATTTTCGAAGTACAGTGAAAACAAGGCATGCAACTCCAGGGAGATAACGAAGATCAAATAATAGAATCTCATGGCATAGAAGAAGCCATTTGTCCCATCATATTTGTATCCTCTTGTGGAAGAACTGTCGGAAGGCATTAATGAGAAGCGAAAGTGACAGACTAATTAAAATGATCTTTCTTCAGACTTCTTGTTAGATACTTATGAGAGTTGAAAAGGAACCCTGCAGCCCAATGGTATCAATGTGGATTTCACAAGTTTCAAAATCTCCCCTCCCCCCACCGCATCCCAAAACCAGTCCAGCTCGTCCCTGCCTCCCTAACCTGTTCTTCCTCCCACCTATCCCCTCCTCCCACCTCAAGCCGCACCTCCATCTCCTACCAACCAACCTCATCCCGCCCCCTTGACCTGTCCGTCCTCCCTGGACTGACCTATCCCCTTCCTAACTCCCTACCTACACTCACCTTTCCTGGCCCCATCCCCGCCTCTTCGACCTGTTTGTTTCCTCTCCACCTATCCTCTCCTCTATCCCTCTTCTATCCGCCTCCCACTCTCTCCCTATTTATTTCAAAACCCCCTTCCCCTCCCCCTTTTCTGATGAAGGGTCTAGGCCCGAAACGTCAGCCTCTCTGCTCCTATGATGCTGCTTGGCCTGCTGTGTTCATCCAGCCCTGCACCTTGTTGTCTTGGATTCTCCAGCATCTGCAGTTCCTACTATCTCTGAGCATGCAATATCTACTGTCCTGTAATATCATACTTTTGCATGTGGTAATGGAAATACAAGTTGCATGATTTGCTGTATATCCCTTATTTTCTATGAAACTGCCAATAATTTAGTATCCTCTTTCTGCATGCAGCATTCAATGGTTACTGCCTGTGGCAGTTATAATAGATTGGAATTGCTTAGGGTGTGGCAAACTACCAGTTGTTACTTTGTGACTAAGCAGTAGAACAGAATTGTATGTTCACCTTTCCGATTAGTCCCCCAGCCCCCAGATGAAATCAGTTTGAGAGTTTTAAATTTTGGTTCGACTTGCTGCATTTCCAAACCAGAATCATGTTGATGGAAGTATCCTGACACAAAGCTCAAGTTACCTCTGTTAACCCGAGGTTGAGCGCCTTTCGTTATCACTGCAATATTTTTCTATTTGCATATATAGGTCTTGTGCAATCATGAACCATTTGAGTTATTTTTGTTTCTCCACCTGATTTCCTAAATAAGGTGACCCATATTGGCATACAATCCCCTGAATCCTTGCAGTGCCTTACCATGGCCATTTGTCATGTGTGCGCTGAAGTGTTGTTAGTTGGCAGACTTTGGGAGATACTGAATGCAAGTCCAATCATTATGTTCACACAAGTCCACTTCCACCAGAGGGAAATACAGTGGGAGCTCTGGCTGATTATTTTGTTTATCTCTTCCTAGTCTCGGAACACTAAGACCAATTGTACTACCCATTTGCGGGCCTGGCTGAAATCAGCTAACTCAGGGCATCAAGGGTATGTATGACACAGCATCCATTCAGAGCCCCGATATCTAATTCAAAATGTTCCCTTCTCATCGAGCCAAATGAGAGTTGCTTCAGTAACGGTCTCCCTCATATCATGAAACTTATTTTTTTTGGAAACCATTGTCCTTACATCTAATGTTAACTTGTTTCTTTGTTTTAGGCACTTAGCACGTGGCCTTGTCTGTGAATCTATAACGTGTGAGTGCTGAATAAGTTCATAAATTTAAGTCAATAGTTGTGCAATCATGGTTCAATAGCATTTATAAGATCTGTAGAAAAAGCATTAATGTGAAGGATGTCTTTCATTTATAATGTTCTTCCTAAAATAATTCCCTGTTTCTCCAGAGCAAAAACCCAAAATGGAAAACTTAGTGGTTTCACACATAAACTCTTACGGATTCAAAATCTCTTGGAACGCAACGGATGGGGCCTATGAAAGTTTTGTTATAGTGGTTAGAGATTCTGGCAGGTTGTTGGAGCCAATGGAGCACAGAGTGCCAGGCGATCATCACTCCATTAACATCACTGGTCTGATCACTGGGATTGGTTATGATATTAATATCTATGGTGTAGCCAATGACCAGCACTCTAAGCCCCTATTTACTAAGACGGCAACAGGTATTTTTATTCAGTTGAGGTCTCTGTTACGTGTTTGTCTACTCTTTTATTGACAATTTTGTTTCTCTTTCAATGTAACACATTAACCCTCTGCAAACTTTATCCAGACTGAGGACATTCACCAATGTCTACACATTAATATTTGTGTCTTTTTCAGCATTAACCAGTTTAAATAAGCCATAAGGAAAAGGGCCAAGGACAAAACAATCATTTTGGATTATACCAATTACCAAGTTATAGGACATTGAAATATAATTTTTTTAAATGTTAACATTGAGAAATTTCTTCAAACTTGACAGGGATATCGTTCTACATCAACAGCAGGAAATGAACTAGTTGCAAATTGGAAGATGATTTTTCACTGCTCTAGCTTCTAATTTCAATTCGCTTGGAAAATATTACCAAAATTTTAAATTTCAAGCTAAGTTGAAGAAGCAGTTAGACTAGAAAGCAATTCCGCAGAAAGGGTGTGAACTAGCATTCTCTGAATGTCAGTGGAAAGAAGACTCAGAATAGGAATCAGGGCATGAAAACATAGCAATCTACTACTAGCCTGTTCTAAGATGCTGATGGGAGATTAGTTTCACACTATTTTTTTCTTAAACTTTTATTCTCTTCCAAACTGTGCTTGATGTGGAATGATTTCAGTTTTCATGGCTATCATCAATTTCTACACAGACATTGGAATAACACCATTAACAAGTTTTTTCTTCACTGAAAAAAATTAACACCAAAATAAAGCAAGTGTTTTTTTTTAAAACATTAACATGTGAATTGACTTTTGGAAATCTCAATCTAGTTGTTAATGGACATGAGCTCACACCATCCATCCTTTATTTAACATATAAGATTAAGCATGAATATAGGCAATGTGACATATTGACATATTGATGCTGTATAAATATTCTGAGGCTGGGGCTGATGGCAGTATAGGGCAAGGTTTGCTCTGACCTTGAGTGTCATATTGGCTTGAATGTGGTTGATGTTGACACAGGCTTAAAGTGGGAAAATGTTCAACTTCTTATGACATCTCATCTTGATGAGAACAAAATCAATATCAATAAGGTCTCCTGTTATCAATGAAACAAACCAATATTTACAGATGACTTTGCAGTAATGACTTTTTGAGCAGTGAGGGGCATTAAATTGAAGGCCTGCTGAAAATGCAACCTTTGTTTGTGCATGACCATTTTGAATTGCTTGGTCATTGTTACAATCTCCTCCTGAAATATGGCTTTAAACTAGAATGATAGCTTTTGATTTTTGTCGGATTATGTCTAACCATTTTACCAGGCTCCTTGGAATGTATTGGATGTCACTCTGTAACATGGAATTCACATGGAAAATGCTGACTCATAGAGTGTTCAATGTGCTGTGTTCACTTTCTTGTGATTACTGAAATCTTATTATCTCGTTGTGGACATACTAATCACTACGTTCTTCCAGCATTCTTGTTTTTTTTTGTATGGAGCAAAATAACGGCTTATAATTGTACTTAAATATCCTTTATAATTCTTCTTGATCCCAATAACCAAATTATTTCTTGTGTATGTCTAAAACACTACTTGATGATCTCTTTAGGTTTGATAATGCCTGCATACAACAACCCTATGATGATGTTCAGTCAATGCTTGTACAAGGTGTAATGAATATCTTTGCCTTTTGTCGTTGTTAATTCTCTGTTGCTCTGTAAGTGTCTCATCTCCCCTTTACTCTGTTGCTTGGGTTGATTACCATTTTCAAAAGGTTACCACATAAGCCCCAGGGTCTTTATAAAGCTAAGTGGACTGAGTTCTTATGTGCTATGCAAAATCAGGTTTGGATGGAACCGGGAAAGAACTGGAATCAACCCAGATTCATCCACTCCAGAAAAGTGTCATGAACAGTCAATATTTTCCAAATTCCTTGAGGCACGCAATAAACTTCTACCGCATGAACAATTAATAAGTGACTTACCTTTTAGGTTTCTGACTGATTCCAGATTGTTAACAGTATTCTGGCCAAATTATTTCACTATTTACTAATATGTCTGTGATTAAATTGTTCAAGTTGGAAAAGAGTTTGCTTTAATTATCTGTAGTCCTTTTTGTCCTGTCAAAGCAAACTTCTTTTTCGAGTATTTGATGTTAACAAGAAAAGTAATTATTTATAATTGAAAGGCAAGAAGAAAAGCAGGAACTTACATAACTTGTTTCTCCCTCAGAAGCTGAACCTGAAGTGGACAACTTAGCAGTTTCTGATGTTACCTCAAATGGCTTCACACTCTCTTGGACAACAGATGAGAATGTCTATGATCACTTTAACATAAGAATTAGGGATTCCAGAAAAGAAACTTCACCCTGGGACTACACAGTGTCAGGGGAACTCCGAACAACTAACATCACAGACTTACCTGATGGCACTGAGTATGAGATTTCCTTGGTTGGCATTTCAGAGGGACGATATTCGCAGCCAGTAAATACCATAGCAACCACAGGTATTATTGTATTTTTTGACAGACTCTGCCTTTATTTCTCTTTCACATCTAATTGACATTTTTTCCCCAGGTTCAACTTTTTTTTTTGTTTTTGGACTAATGACAAGCAAAGATACTGTCCCTCGCTTTCAATGAATTGTTTTCTAAACAGCACTGATAAATGTTTCTACTTCTACTTTTGTCCCTTTTAGAACTTGCTTCTGCCACCTTTCTTCCTTCAAACAATAGACTTCTCCAATGTGCCATTAACCAGCAGTAGGCAATTTTCCACAGAGCAGCAGAAGGGTGGGCTGCTTGCGTCAAGCCAAAGGGGCTGAACAGAACGAGGAGCATTTCATTTGAGCGTAAAAGTCCCACTTTTGTGTAATGATCCTGCAACAAAGTGGATTGAGTTTGGCAGTGTTCATGATGTGGAATTATCCAAAATGTATAGCTCCACAGTTTAACCACAATCTTGGCTTGTGGCCTGCACCAAGATGAATTCTGCCATTGGAAAAGATTTTATCCCAAACAAGCGTTGCTTCAGTTTGAATGGTAACGGTAGAGTTTAGAAACATTGGTTGCAAAGGTCCTGCGTTAATATCTAACTCTTTACCTTTAATTAAAGATAGAATTCAACTACTTCATAGGGCTGTTTGGAACCTATGCTCTTGTTTGTTGGGGGATGGAAGACAATTTGTTGTTGGTGGTGGGACAGCAAGTTTGGGTTGAACAGAGATTGAGGACAAACAAACACTCTGAAGTTTTATTCTCTAGCTAGCTTTAATAATCCCAGGAATTATATCTCAAGAAGTTTCCGTCCAATGGATGCATGTGTGAAATTGTACCATCTATGGATTTTAAAGTACGCAGCCAGTTTTTCCATTCAGTGCTCTCTCCTGTCAGTAGTCAGCACCTGATCGAACTTCTCCTTTCAAGGGTTCCTCTATTCTGCCTATTAACACGTTGTTTTCTTCAATGGCTTGATATCAGAATATTTGAAGATACACTTCACATTTGATGCTAATCCATTTATTCTTATATTGTGCAGGATGCTTTGAACAAATTTGCTCTATGTTTCAGTTGATTTGCCGTAATTTTGGCCATTCTTTGACTTTGTCACAATATCTTGGCTTTCAGTGCATGTGCAGAGCTGTAAATGACATATGAGAGAACCACCTCTGCTCTGCACCTCCTGTCTTCTCCACTTAGCCCGAGTAAAACTGTTGTTGCTTTTCTTTCATAATCATAAACACATTTCCCCTCTTGTTTCATTTGCAAGAAGTGTTTATGCAGCTACTGGGAATGCAGCTTTGGTTTTGTGTCTACTTCCTGTTCTTTATACTGTCAAACACTGCAAATGAAAATTAGTTAAATGGATGCGTTAATTTGTACTTCATTGTGAAACAAAGGATCCGAAGGCCACAAATGAGCAAAAAAAAGAATAACCAATAATGGGACTTCTGCTGTCTTTGTGAAACATGCTCGACAAGCATATTTACTTGGTGACAGTATCAATAGTTTTCTACATTGTTTTGCCACAGTATTGATATCATGATTAAAGTAAAATGTTTATGTTTCATCTTTGTAAACAAATGGACAAAAATGCCAATCTTATTTTCAATGAGATGATTGGTCTCTTTAAGGATTGACAAAATGGTCCACTTGCAAGGCTTTAAGCCTATGTTATAAATGCATGTTTTCTTTGCTATATTTTATGGGCAGTCAGTAATTCATTAGTGTGCAGCCTCATTAAAATTGCATCTCTAAGCATGGGTGTTATTTTCATTTACCGTTCTAGGATTTGCTTCATTTTATTCTTGTGTTCTATTTTTATGATTGATCTCCTTTATTTCAATTTTTAATCTTAACGTGGCGCTACATACACTTTCAGATCAAATCCAATATTGTTTACAGGTTCTGGAAGACATTAAATGTATAACTTGAGAAATCAGTTCTGCCATTAAACTTTTTGTTCCAACTTGCTCATGGTTTTCCACATTGTCTAAATCTGTTGAGATGTCCAGTTTGAATATACATTAAATATGTTTGACTTTTGTTATCAACTCTCTCTGACAGCATTAGGAGCTCCTAAATTTCTGCGGTTCACTGATGTCACCGACACTACAGTGACAGTCTGGTGGGACATTGAGAGTAGCTACATCACCAACTTCAAGATTATTTATGTGCCAACTGATGGAGGTAAGATGCCACATTGATTTGTCAGAACGTCTATTTTATCTGGTGTCAAATATAAAGCAAGTCCATATTCAATCATTGACTTTCCAATGTAATCTGGAGGACTACTCAATATAGTTTGCTGAAAAGTCTCCCAACAGTTTGAAGGGCCCAAATTACTTGAATTCATTGAAGCATGGCATTTCTACGAGGTGCTAACTGATTCTGGAATTTCCCATTGACATTACAATGAGTGCAACATTTACTTACCTCTAATACTACCTGAAATGATGGTAGAAGCACATTCAACATTAACTATCATAAGGGAATTGAATACATTTTTGAAGGAGAGAAAATTGCAGGACTGTGAGGAGAGAGCATGTGTGGCGGGGTTGGGAATTGTGCATGTGGAAGTAGCTCATTCAAAGTGCCAGCACAGGCATGAGTGACTGAATGGCCTGCTTTGGTACAGTAAGGTTCTAAGATTCTATACTAATTTTCTCAGGCCCAAGTAACACCGTGACAGTCGATGGCAGAAAGACTCGAACTATACTGAAGAGGCTCACCCCAGCTACTGAATACGAAATCAAAGTCATCGCTGTTAGAGGGTTTGAGGAGAGTGAACCAGTTTCAGGCACAGTGCACACAGGTAAACAAAGGGGGAAAAGGCAATAACTGAATGCAAAATCTGTACTGCCAAAGTACCATACTCATCATAGCTTTGTGACAGTTCGCTGAAAATTTAAAATGTTTATTGTGCAGAGGAAGCACATTCCATCCACGCTCCCTCTCATTCTCCTGTCACTGTGTACATCTCTGAGGTCTGTGCACAGCAGTGTGTGGAGAAACCAGAAGGGTATGCATCAGAAAACAAAAAATGCTGGAAATAAGCTAATGTTTTGAGTCTACATGACCTTGAGTTTCTGTGGAGAGAGAGCAAACTAATGTTTCGAGTCTAGATGAAAGCTGTGCTTCTCAGAAGGAATGTTGCTTTCTATATGTTTATGCACCCTCATGGACACGACAAGAAATAAAACCTTTAGTAAATGTTTTCTGTTGACAAGTTTGAACAATGTAATTTAATTCACCTGAATTGAACTCAAAAAGTGTAGGTAGTCTTTGGTCTAGGAATCTCTGATAAAGCATACTGATCCAAGTGAGTTCCAGGCTTCATTTCCATGTTTGTTTTCAGATTGAGTTATGTCAGTAATTGCTGATGCATGGTCTCACTCTCTTGGCTATATTCCATCATGTAAATCAGGCCAGCTTCCAAGACCAAACCATCGCAGACTCTCAAAAAAAACCTCTCAGATTTTTTACCAAAATAAAGAAAACATATATAGCCCTCTAAATCCAGGGAACCTGGACATTTTATTCCTGAGGGTCTCTGTAAAATAACAGGCTGTGGACTGTTGACTGCAACTGAGCATAATAATAGTGAGGGCAATATGCAGGGGTCTGTCTGCATAGAAGAGAATTTAGTCATAACTCAAGTCATTGCTGAAGTGACTTCACTGTAGTCACACCATCTTCATCATAATTCAACACCAGCTAGTGAGACTGCCATCTTGTTATCAGTGTACATAATATGTTTCACATAATGAATTATGGAATTAGAAAGCAGCGATCTAACACTTGAAACTCCATCAGGGACCTAAGCACAAGGGACTGTGTGACACAAGTATTGTTGATTTTTCCCTCTGGGGAAAGATAATCTGTCATTGTTCTGCTAGGTCACACCTCAGGCACAAAGCATTGACTGAGGTTCTGCCTGGGAATAAAATATAATTGCTTTCCTCTGAGGTGATAAAATGTTGAAATACACTTTAAGATTCTCCTTCTGACCAAAGGCAGTTACAATTCGTAGTGTCACAACTGAAGGAACAAGGAGGCAAGTTCTGACCAGCTGTGCTTTTCCAGCCTCACACCTATAGACTCTGAAACCACCCCAGCCAGTAGAGGGATTCAACCTGCTGATATTGGCACCAGTCTGACCTACACTGGACACCCAGCCAACTGAACTCACTGACCTGCCCCCAAATTTGAGCTGCTGTGGCAATGTGCTTTTTTACATGTGTTATGGACCAGACAAAACCCCCTTAAAACATTCAGAAGAGAGTCTAGACTCTAACTGTTCTTATTTTAAAGGTGAATGCAAGGTGTTGCATCCCAGATGCAATTTGATTGGTCAAACTACAGGATTTAGAGCAAAATACATCCATTGTAGTTAAAATACAATAAAAGAAAGGATGAATTGGAATAATTTAACTCTACTGGAAAACTTAACAGAATAATAGATACAGTAATGATTACTAATTAACTGTTCTAATGTAGTAATCTCACATAAACACAACCTTGGCAAAAAGCAAATTCAGCACAAAGATTGTCTCACGTGCAACTCTTGTAGCAGGCAGAGAACCCTCAGCTTTTGGCTATAACAGAGAGAGGGAAAATAATAGCTTTCACTTCTTCAAGACCCAATAATAACTGCTGAAAGCTAAACTGGTTCTGTGGGTCAGAGCTTGACCACACCCATTTAGGCTGCTTCTATTGTTCCAATTTTTTTAAAAAAACACCCAAAGCTTCACAAGTTGTTTATCTTCTCATAGACTACTTGACACCTGTCCCCTAATCTTTCAAAAAGAAACCAGGACAAAACACACTTCTTAAAGTCACTGTATCATTACACATGCATGTTGTAGTCTGGAGCTGTGGATACTGATTGTGGAAACTCCAATTACTTTCCTTCCCATTTCTGAGCAGGAACCTTGCTCACTTTTGCTGGCTACCATTGACATATGTTGGAAGAAATTACAAGTTGATCCTCGAGCTTTTTTCCAGTGATACGAATGCACATTCCTGGTCTGTCTACTCCTGGAGTGGGCATTGTATTGTAGACTGCACTTGTATGAAAGTAATGTGCAGGGCTGGATGAACACAGCAGGCCAAGCAGCATCATAGGAGCAGAGAGGCTGACGTTTTGGGCCTAGACCCTTCATCAGAAAAGGGGGAGGGGAAGGGGGTTTTGAAATAAATAGGGAGAGAGTGGGAGGCGGATAGAAGAGGGATAGAGGAGAGGATAGGTGGAGAGGAGTTGCAGTGGGAGAGAGATCCCTTGAGGTTTGTCCGGAGGGAGGAGGGTAACTTCTTCAGGTTAGGCATCCTTAGAAGAGGCTTCGCAGTCTTCTATCCGCCTCCCACTCCCTCCCTATTTATTTCA